TAACTACTTCTAGATACTAATTTATTATAAATAGAGCTGTAAAACTAATGTAGTAAAAAATGTAATATAACGCGCTTAAAATGATTACCTATATTTAAAAATAATGCTATAAATGTTAACTGATTAAAAAATAAATAAATGTGATTAGTCAAATAAATTGTATATACTATTCAGTTCATCCAAATCAGCTAAACAATTTTGAATTATTTTAATTTTAATATTAAATTTTTTTTATATATTCAGTAGTTCAGTACATATTTATGTATTTTAAATTTCTTTATTGATATACAACTATTTTGTAGATATTTTGCCTTTTTTAAACTCCTATCCGATCCTTAATCATTAGTCATTAGTCTAGGGAACGGATTTTATTGTAAATACATATTTTTATTGAAATGAGATATTTTAACTCTGATCAAAAATCTATACGATTTAGATCATTCTAATTAAAATAAACCCAAATTTACTTTACATATTTTTACATATTTGGTAAATAAGTATATATTTTAGTACTTATTTTAGTGATTTTTAATTTTTGACGACTTTAAACATTATCTGTTTCGTCTAAATAACAAGATTAGTAATTTTTGACGACCACCAAATATTATCTCTGAACATTGAATTCACTCCTTCTGATATAATGAACATAAATTACGCCCCTATCACATCTGTTGATGTAGAATGGTCTTTTAGTCAATACAAGAGTATTCTCCGACCAAACCGTCGCAATTTTTCATTTGCAAACCTTCAACAATATGTTGTTTCTCATTGCTTTGTTCCGGAATAATAGTTTTATATACCTACATCGTTTGTAATACTTTTATTTATAAAATATTTATTTTTTTTTGTAATTTTTAATACCTACTAATACATATTTTTAATTTTTTTTTACATATTTATGTACATATTTTGATTTTTTTATTACAATAAAGTCTGTTCCCTGGTCATTACCAATGTAGGTATTTATATTATAATAGTGTGAATAATTTAAATGTAAAATAGCTAATAATTAGTTAAATGTATTTTGAAAATTTCATTACGTATATAAAATAACAATAAATAGGTATATACATTATAGTGACATGTAAACAAATTTTTATGACTAATACTTTTTGGATTACAAAATAACTAAAATTGGAGATAAAAATCGTTTCTTTTTAAAATTTAAATATTTAGTTTTGTCAATATTTGAATTTCAAATATTTAGGCTTATAATAAATTTCAAAGATTTTGATGAATTTCAAAAATTTAAATTTTGAATACTTATAAGAAAAGTGTAATTATTTATTTTTTGCGTGTAGAATAACTTATTAAGAGGAACCTTGAATTAGATTTTTCCTAAAAAACAAAATATTATCAAACTTAAAACGATTTTAAAAATATTTATGGATTTACACTTAATTTTGCTATTAATAACAACGTATCTTTAATCTTTATTATATTTTTAAGATTTTTAACCTAGAAAATTTTTTTTTATTGACAATAGGAGTTGAAATGTTTTATAAATTATACCATGTATAGAAAATAACTCTGTTTAAAGTTTAAACACTTAAATTTTTTACGGTTATTGATTTTTAAACTGATTTAGCATAAATATTTCCTTTTTTTTTTGTTTATTTAAAAATGTACAGGGAATTTTTTACACTTGTGTAGATTATTTTTTTTAACTATAATAAAGTATACTATAAAATAAAATAATATAATAAAAACCTAATTCTCACGAATAAAATATTTTAAAACTGTGTTGTCTTTATAAAAATAATAATTGTATGACCTTGTATAATAAATGAATATAAATTAAAAACATTTCATCTTTTAATATACTGTAATTTATATTTTATATAGATAGATACAATACATACGCGTAAAATATATTACATAACACTTATTAATGATTATACCGTTTATTATAAATACCTATTACTTATTTTATTCGAATTTAATATTCATAATTCATATAATAAATATTCACAATACTTACTATTAAAAATATTGGCAGGTAACACAGATAAAATTGAGGTTTATGCAACTTTGTGGTTTAAAATGAACGAGACAAATATAAATAAGTCATCATTAGAGAGTTTATTAATTATAATAACTAATAATTATATAGGTACCAATCTACCTAATTAATTGTTTTAATGATTTGTATTTTATTCAATGTTATGATAATATTTATTCATAACTTTGAAGGTTGATATACTATACAATAAGTATGTAACATTTTATTTCAATTAGTTGAAATACTAGATTAATTCATATTTTGTGCAGTCAATGAGGTGTGCTGAAGGAATAAAAATGTTCAAGTATACAAGTTTTGTTCTCGTAAAAACTATAATAATGCTATGAAAATACAGATTTCACTATTTTTATTATATTTTAATATTACGAAGGTTAATGCACGTAAATGCACGTAGCAAAGCAGAAAACTATATTAATTGTATTCATCTATCCCGATTATTGACTAGATAATGACTGTTAAGATAAAGTATTATATATATTATTTAATTCATAACGTAATAATTTCAATACTTCACTTAAAATTTCCACAAAAGTTATTAAAATAATAAATAGAAGTTTTAGGAAGTAGCACCTATAATATTATACGATTGGCATACCGCATACACAATATAACAAAATATATCGAGACAATTTTGTATAAAATATATTGTTTTCATGGTTGTTCCATTGCATATAACGTATTTATCGTTCATGTAATTATATCTAATTTTTAATTCGTTAATTTGTACCTAGGTAATACAATAAATGGCAATATTTATTTTTAATATTATATGTTTAAATTAAAATGTATTTTATACAATATATTGATTTTATAAGCGTCAAGAAATATAATAATATACTAGTTAAACAAAATGTTTCAAACAAATCATATTACTCATATTTTATTAATATAAAATCAATATAAAAATTATGAATTATATAATAATTGCCATGTTTAATAAAGGTAAACTGACTGAAATAATAAATTGGTAGGTAGATATATAGATAAGTATTAAATAGATACTCTCACATATACAAACATAATAGTAAAAAAGTAGTAAAAAGTAGAAATAAAAAATATTAGGTATTGTTTATATCACATAAGCAAATCATATTTTACTCATACAAATAAAAGCTTTACTATAGATTTTCTATTTAATAGTTTAAAAATAAGTTAATATGTTTGAAATAATACCTACTGTTAAAGAATTACTGTTTTAATTTTAAAGCTTACTATACACATATAATATAGTATATTTACCTATTTAAAAAAAATTAATTATAAAAAAGTGCTTAGCCTTAGCCACGTAGGTACTTAAAAACAAATAAATTAAATTGATTAAATGTGTAATAGGAACCAGTAATATTTGCAAAGTATCTTTAAACTCTATAGTATAATGCTTTTAAAAATAACATTAATGCAATAATGCTGTGTATAGTATAAATAATAAATAATAATTAATATAATTAATTATACTAATTAGATATTTGTAAAATAATGAGTAGGTATCTAATAGGTATAGAGGATTATTTCTACATTTTTAATTTAGCATTAACAGAATAATAACTAATTATTTTTATATTTAAATATCTTAAAATACTGGTGTCTGGATTACCTTCGGATTTTGAACAGTATGATGAATATATTAGTTTTGTAATGATGTGATATATTTCCTGTTTATATGTATCCAGTATACACAACATATAAAGTGCTACGATTTTCATCGGATGATTTCTAGTAGAAAATTAGACTTAGTTAGTACTTTTAAGAAGTCAAAATAGGAAGTAATCATGAAAAAATAAAACAATTTATAGGAAATGAAATTGTTCGCACTAAACCTGTAGTTACTGATAAGATCGATTTCATTTTTTGGTGTAAATAGATCGTAAGATATTTAAAATGTTTATCATATGTTTATATAACTATTTGTTATACATAAAAATTAAAAACATTTTCAAAATTATTTTTACTCTTTTAAAGTTAGAGCTATTTTAGGCAAACGGATTTTTTTTTTAAATTATTGTTGATAAAAATGTTAGCAATCAAAGTAATTTATTTTACTTACAGTATCAATCTAATAAGTAATAATATAGTTTATATATAATATAAATTATATAAATTATTATTTATCAGTTATCAATGAACATACATTTAAAATCATCAAGATAATATTTTATAATTTATAGACTATTGCTGCTTTTGTGTATCTAGTCATCTAGATAGTAGATATTCTTAAAATTAAATTAAATCACTTAATGCACAGAAACATTATGCATCACTGAACAATTTTGATATTTTATTCGTAGTCATAAAATAAGTTATATGAGTAATTTAATATTATTATAAGAACGAATCATGTTATATGTTCGATACATTATTTTAATAAGTACAACCATCTTCACTAGTCACCAAACCCCGTCAAATTCATTACTTTTACGATTTAGGCAGTATTAACATTTTTGTGGGTAATATTATACTTATTTGGCTACTTAAGTTTTGGCCAATATCGCTTTAATTATGCGTGAAAGCTTCAGGGCAGGGTTAAAGCCACTCGAAAAGTGTGATACTCATCATTAACCCGCTTTTTATCGAAATTAAATAGCGCGATGGTCAATGGGTAATACAAATTACGAACTTAAAATCAGTTTGACAAAATTGACTATTTACTAATTAGTAATTTTACATTTTGTCCATTTTGGTAGGTAATTGAAATGTTTGTAATAAAAATAGTATTACCTATTATTTATTATACCCGTATTCATAAGCATGTAAGATACGTACATGTAGTGCATAATATGTATATTCAATAATATTGTCCATTTGTCCGTGTTCGTATATTCGTAAAATACCATTAAGCATTTACGAATTACGAGGACGATGAGAGTGATGCACCGCTGCGTGACGATCGACGGAGGTGAACGCCGCCGCCGCCGCCGCCGAATCACGTGATAACGTCGATTTGTGTACGCGTCGGTGTCACCGTTAACGGGCTGCGCGCTCGTACGATTTTCTGAATTTCTGATAAACCAAACCACGTACGGCGGCGGCGCGGCCGACCGAAATCGTTAATAATAATAATAATAAAAATATACTGGGAAATCTAATAACAGTGTGTTTATAAGGTCGAATACTCGTACACCTCCGCCGACGCAAACCGTCGTCCAACGATAGCGAACGCGGAAACGCGGATAGCTAGTCAGGTACCCACGTCCCACTCTTTTCACGACGCGTAATCGTCAATTCATGAATCGTGACTCGTAGACTATAAGCACAACTGCACAAGGCAGTCGCTGCACGCACGTCGCGGACCGTGGTCGGTGTCTTTTGTACGTTTTATGTTATTAAAATATTTTTATCTTAGTATTTAGTAATAATCGTCCGCGGTGGGTGATAGTCAACGAGACTTGTGTACCTCTATCCATTCCACTGATTTACCTGACGTCGACGGCGTATGAATACAGTGCACTAGATTGTGTTCAGATATGAACGTTCAATGACCATCGTTGTATACATGTGAGTAGGTGTACTGGACATAACATCGTCTTGTATATTAATATTTTATTAGGTACTTGGGAACCTTATAATGAATAGCTTAGACTGTCCTCTTTACCTGAATACTATTTTATTAACATTACCATGTGTTCATGGTGTTTAAATAATGGGAAACTGGATTGATATATATGTATATATACGTTTTGATGTATTACTACTTGATATACCACCTATAACCTAACCTATTTAATAACACCACCTATTAGTTATTGCAATAAATCTATAGTATTATTGAAGTACATTTATAACTTATATGTAGATGTATATTTTGTTAAAGATTTAAAATTGTTTTATATTTTGTATGGTAAGTATTATATGTATGAGAATATTAGAAAAATGTAAGAATTATTTATTTAATTTACATATTATTCGTTATTTAATAAATTTCCTGTTATATAACAATAGATTTTTTAATCTAATGTAATTTGTAAGCTAATGAACAATTATTTTGTTAGTATTTCTATTTGAAAAAAAATTTAAAAAATATATTTGTATTTAAATTATTTATTTGGCACTAAAACATTTTATTTTTTTTTCATTCATTAAATTTATTTTTAAAACTAATTTATAATTGAATGACTCATATAGGTATATTCACATTGATATCAGTTTTAGATGCGCAATATTTATTTACTTCTATTAAATTAATTGGAATAAAATCAAATATATAAATAATAATTAATTCATGACCAATTAGAATATGAATAAGTATCAGAAGTTTACATAATAGTCAACAACAAAATGGACCAATTGAATAATTTATATAGGTAGGCACCGATGACTGATAAATAATTACTTATACATGTATAATCTAATACAAATCAGTATTTCTAAGATTCTGAATACTTTTAAATGTATTACATTCAAATTTAAATAGGTTAGCTTTAGCAATTTAATTTGTTTATTTATTTTTGTTGTAAATGAAAAGTATATTTAGTTAACATAGGTACCTTAATAATGACTGAAAGTTATAATTAAATACTATTAATATAATATCAACTTTAATAGTTGCATAAAAATTAAAGGAATTATAATATTAATTTGAATTCATGTTTAATATAATTATATACAAATATACATATTTTACTATTTAGAAAAGTACAAATATTTAATGATTCATTAACTTTTATATAAAATTTATATCTATTATAATCCATGTTGTAAATTACATTGTATTATATATTTATTTATTTGATCATGATTTTTAACTACCTATTTTACTTAACTTATTTACCTATTTACTATATAGTGTTACTAGAATATATTTCTATTTGTTTATATTAGTTTTATCAGTTTTATGTAACTGATTTAATAACGGTTTATAAATAATGTATATTTTTAAAGTAGTTTGAGTTGATATAATTATTATAATAAAATAATTATTAGTTATATCAATATTATCAATAATATTTAATTACTTAATTAGCAATATTCAACCCAGAAATTTGAATAAGGTTTCTTTAAGCTATAATAAAAACATGAAGTAGATTTATTTATTTTTATTTTTTATTGTTAGGTACCATAATCATAGAGTATAATTGTTTATTTATTTCAGGTAATATAACAAATATGACTCTTAAAGGTTGCCTGAAACGGTAAGCATACAAATAATTTATTCAAATTATAATTTATAAAAATATAATGATATATACATTTTTATTGATTTAAAATTAATGTATATAATATAGATCTATTTACTGTACAATATGGACATATTGAGCATGGATTAGTTGGTTCTTAGAATTTAGTCATAATTTAAAAGATAAAAAATAAAGAGTTTTATAACTTTAATAAAAAGCAACTAATAAGTTGAAATATGTATGCATTATGCAAACATAGTAAATTATGTACCTAATAGCCAAAAAAGAAGAAATCATGAATATCTTTTGTTGGCCATATATTCACATTTTTATTGTGCATTAAATTTGTTAATGAATACTTCTACTTATTAAACAACTATCCAACTACTCGAAATATTTAACTTGTATGTATTTAAGTTATACTTAATTAATATTTTTGACTATATCTTATAGTGTTTATAACTCTTTAAGTTAAAAACATTTTATTGTTTCATTAATATAGAAATATAATATATAAATCACAAAAACATAATTGTTTTTTTATTTTAAATTGAACTTATCACAGTTTAAATATTTAAAAATTAAGTATCCAGTTACTATGATAACTTTTTTTAAATAAACGCCTACAATATTTTATTATTGTATAAATAAATTCAATTAATTATTTTTATTTTTATTCATAATTAATAACAGAATATCTTAAAATAAATTTTTGAATATTCACAGGAAATTGTTTTTTTTTATCTATAAAAAACACTTATGAAACTATAAAAAACATTTCAACTAAACATGAAGTAATAACGTTTAAGAAAGATAAAATAAAGCTTGAGAAAATTATGTATAAATATTGTATTATAAGTAATCATCTTAATCTTATAAATTGCTAGGTATATTAAAGTAAGATTTTTGATATTTTTGACATTTTCTAATAATCTTACATATTTTTTATATATTATATTATATTTCATGTGTATTTTATTTAGTTATTTTCTTTGCCATATTAGCCTATGTATTCCTACAAACTTCAACCTTTATGCAATGCACTGTCTTTACCAAACATTTTTATGGCAATAATTAATGGTACAAACTAATTTGTTATAATAATAAACTGTATAAAAATTAAAATTAAATACATTACTTTTAAAATAATAATATTTACTAATAACTCAGTATTAATTTAATATTTAAAAAAATATATATGTATCATTGATTAAATATATATATATATATATATATATTTATATATATGGATTATATTTAATCAATTTATGTATAAAATAAATATACAATAAAGTGTATGTATATATCCATTATAATCATTATATATATAAAATTTAAGTAACACAAACATATTTATCTATAAAATATAATTTCTAAACGTTTGATTTTTTATATTGAATAAGAAGAATAAAAATGCAAGTGCTCTTATTATTATGTATAATTGTACAATATTGGTGTGGTAATATTTCTGATAATAGTTGGTGGTTTTGGTGTAATGTCTAATACAATTATATATGCTTAACATGATAATTGTATTTATTGTTGGATTATGCTGTAGATATATTTATTTTTTCTTATAACTTTATTGACATTAGAATTATGACTAATAAATGATAATAGAATAATGAAGTGTATATGTGACTAAAATTGTATTGTTCAAAAACAATTTATATGAATTTATGTTAGATATAAGTTTTATTTTATTTATTAATAGTTTTATAATAATTGTGGAACTTAGAGTTAATTTTAATGACATTTTGCTAAAAGTAATAACTAGAGCGCAGATTTTTATGCAATTGCATATTTTTTTCCTTTTAATATTTTTGAATTTTTGTCAGTTATCTCCACGAATCATCATAATTTAAAGCTAATGGTGAAATTTTTTTTTGCATATTTCTGCATATTTGAAGGTTATTACATATTTTTGCATATTTTGGCAAAATTCAAAATTTATTGCATATTGAAGCGAAAATTTAAAAAAATTTAAAAAAATGTATTTTGACAAGTAGAATGATTTAACATTTATATCTACTCATTTGGCATTTTTAGTGATAGTCATAAAAAAACTGAAAACTCGAAATATAATTTTACATCTAAGCTTTTCAATAATTGACGAAACAAAAGGAAAAATGCATTCTATTTCTGGATCGAAAGGTGTAACACTTACAACAACATTAAACGAGCTTTCCAATAAAAATGAAGGTATGAAAATTCTACAAAAAATTAATTCAGTATTATTAGGCGAAAACATTCAGCTCGAAGACCTTTATCAAGATCCGACAATACTAAGTTGCTTCAAATATGCCCCAATAACTTTGGTTGACGTCGAACGTTCGTTTCAGTCTTTAAAAATATGTTAACCGATAAACGATACAGCTTCACAGAAGAAAAACTTGAAATGCATATGATTATTCATTTTAATAATAAATACAATTTTAAAAATAAATAAAGTTTAGAAAATTCCCTAAATTTTTTATTATTAAGTATTTAAGTAATTAATTATTATAAGTTTTATTGTAAATTTTAAATAAATAAAAAATTCTTGCATATTTTCATAATTTTGACTGCATATTTTCATGATTTTTACTGCATATTATATGGCATATTTTGATACTTTTAAGTGCATAAAAATCCGCGCTTTAGTAATAACTAAATATGAATTTAAAGCTTTAAAGTTTAGTAACCTATTTAGGATTTTTATAAAATTTCTTCTACAATCAAATTTGACTCAATCTAAAAGTTATTAAAAGAAATAAATACAATTAATAATAAATAAATGTTTAAACTAATGCGTTAAAAAGTGTTGTTATGGTGTATAAATTATCATTTGTGAATGAATAATTTTTTAGAAAAACAATATACCTACATTAAACAATCAAATATGAAATACATAGCTAATAAACAATGTACCATGTACACAATTGTATGGTAATAGATATTGGTTTTTAATATTTTTAAATTATAATATGTTATGAAAAAGTATGAATTTATGGCATTATTTTCAATGTTTGATCATTTTAGGCAATTTGAAAGTGATAATTTTAGAACTCCAATATTTTTTACAACACCTGAATAAAATATTCTCTACTTGGAATCTTATATGAATCAAATAATTGATAAAAAATACTGACATACTGAACACAATGTGTATTGTGCAGTATACTATATTGTAATAAAATTCTTAAATTAATTAATTGTACATGAAAGCTTATTTAAACCCACAAGTGTAATTGACAGGTTTCACTTTGTAACTCTTAAGTGCCATAATTATGAGTCATATAATAACTATTCAAAAAGTAGTAATAATTATTTATTTTGTGTAACATGTTTGTTAAGTTTAATTAAATTTAATATTTTAACTTAATTACTTACTTAAACAGTTATTCATTTAAAAAAAATTGTACAAATGGATAGTGCTCCCATGTACGTTCATGAGGTGTTAAATGGGTCATTGTAATGGGTGTATTAAACTTAAATTCAATGATGTATTATTATTTGCAAAAAATCAATTCTGAATAATAATAGTTTGTCTATAAATATTTAATTTTGATTTGATATGTCTATACATAATTTTAATTTTTTAACATACTTGTATATTTTTTAGATTTAAAATTTTTAATTTTTCTATTTTTTTAACTATAAAATAACTAGCAAATTTTTGTGATTTTGATAAAATTTATCAACATTTAAAATGTATATTTGTAAAAAAAAATATCCATGCATGTATTTTTAATATATTTATATCACTATAAAATAGCTAATTTTGGATATTATATATGATTTTCAAGCTTTTTTAAAGAGCCTAAAACTGTTTAATAACAATTTAAAAATTATATCAAAAAACTGTTGAGAAAAAATTGTTAGTATATGTTTGAATATCAAATGTTGATAATATTTGAACTTAAATCTCAAAATAATTTTTTACTAAACTTTTTTGTTTTCAATAAATAAGCTATTGAAGAATCTTGCAATCTTTTATAAAATTTTCAAACTTTCACAAATAAATAAAAATAAGGAAATACATAATTGTAAAAAAAAGTATATTTATTGCTCCTCTTAAAATCTAAAGTAATACTAGGTATTCTTTTAATAATATTTTCTATTTGTTTATTGAAATTCAATATCAAATTTTGTTTACTTCAATATTGTTTCTACTTTATCAACCTTTTTTAGGTCACTGTACAGTGTCTGGATAATTTAGATTTTTACTTTGACCAATAAAATTAAGTATTTTATACAATATTCAATTTCTTAGTTTTTCTATAATATATTATATAATAAATTAATTGCTGTTTATATTAACTTTTAATATATACCAATCAGTTAATAATTTGTAAGCCGTATTCTTTATTTTAGGGATATATGAGCTTTGTTTTTAATGACTTGATGATTGTTAATGTTCATAAAATACACAACATTACTTAGTAGACAGAATATTTATTAAAATGGGTGCAAGATAAAAATGTATTTTTCAAATAGCATATTATGCACAGTATCATTTATCAATTTATTTTCATTGATTTTGAACTATATTAAATACTAGCTAGATGTAAACAGTTTATTCATATTTTATTATATCAACACTAACGAGTAATGACTTATAGCTAATAATTAAATTATTGTGTTCTCATTGCTAGTTTTTTTTTAATGTATTTGTGTTCATTATAGCTTTGTATATTATTGATCTAAATAATCTATCTATTTTTTTTTTTAAATCAATGTGAATTTGTTAAAATTTAAATTATTTTAAAAGTAATTATTCAATAAACATTATTATAGTTATAAATTATATGCATGATAAAAAGTATAACAAAGAAACATTTAATAAATTTCAGGTAGACTTCTAGCCAAATGATAATATTATTGATGTAATGATGATAAAGATTAAAAATCAGTATATTCAAACATTTTTAATAACTTTTTATAATTATTACAATAACAATTTTTTAACTTAGCTTTTGAAATTGAAAAATTTATGTTAAAATAGGTTAAGTATACAAATCATAAAAGTGATCATGACAATTCACTGTCGATACTATTTAACATTTTCATGATTTACCATAAATACAATTTTTCAACAAATGCTTAATGTTTAGCTGGCAATACCTTTCAAAAAATCAAAATTTACTGCATAAACATCCAGAGAAATTCATATTTATGTACAATAAAATGTTAAAAATATTTTAACTAATTTAATCTAGTATTAAACATTTAAATTATTGAATTTTTAAAAAACAATTGTTTTATGTTATATATAAAACATAATTGGTTAAAAAAGTTTAAAATTTAAGAAAAAAATTTTGATTCTTCATAAGTTGTGCTTTTAGTAATTTAATATAAAAAATATGGAATGTATAAAATTTTTTTTTTAAATGAATATAAGTATAAAATTGAATATTTAAATAAAAATTTTTTATTTTTCCATTAAAGGTTTTAATTATTTTACTGCGATTCTAAAAATTTAACCATAGTGACTTGAAACTTTTCCCCATTACAAAAATTATGATTTTCCATACACAATGAAATTTGCAAAATAATTATTTTAAGCTATTTATACCATATAGTTATTGTTCTATTAGTTGATAGACCATCTTCATTTATAATTGTTTTTAATTCTATACAATAATTTATCATTAAATTAAAATCTAACACACTAATTACAGATATATTTTCAGTAATAATATACATTCAAACTCTTGACATGCTCCTACTATATACAGTAAAGGAACTTTACTGTTTTTTTTTTTTTTTTTACTAGAATTTTATTTTTATTTTAGGATATAATAATTTAGTGTGATAAATAATAAAAAAAAAAATTATTTTTTTATCAAATAACTATTTTAATTTATTTTTTGAAATATCTTTGATTGACTTCTGTTATGGTACATTTTTATTTGATTTATTTTTCATTAGTTATTAATTACTTATAATTACTTCTATACAAAAGCATTATTATAAGATTAGTCTTTTTAATTATTTTTGTCCAGTTAAAATTTATTTTTAACTTTTGTTGTTATTTTTTCATTTATTGACATGATTTATAATCTTTCATTATACTTATACATCATTATTTTACCTGATTCAAAAATTATTTTATTTATGATGAATTATCACAATTGATTACAATAAAATCTATTAAAAATATTGATATTCTTTAAAAATTTAATTTAATTCTAATCATTAGGTACTTAATAAAAAGTAAATTAAATGTTTAATACTTACCCTATAATAAATTCATAACCTTATAAAATATTAATAGTATGGGCTATATATTTCATGAAAATGTAGATAGCTTACTGAATTTAGCATTGACTGCTATGGATTAAATATTATGTTACAGGATTGTTGTATTTTAGATCTTTCAATATCAAACTACTTTATTATAGCTTCATTGTGCTGTGAAAAATACATATATCTCAATAATGGCACTATGCATGTGTTTTTCATTTATGAAACCTGTGATGATATTCTTGTTAATTTGTGTTTTCGCGTAAGTAATAATATTAAGACTGCATTTAATTTACTTACTTCATCTACCAAAAAATAAATCAACTAATTGATTTATTTTAAGAATTACAATTTTTAAAATTTATCTTAACCTAAATGTACTTCTTATTATAAACTGCTTTTAGTTTCATGAATACATCTAATTTAATATTCTGGACAAACATAATCATAATAATAAACATAGAATAAGATTAGAAAAGTAAACTAATAAATAATTATATTAGCTTTGCATGAAATAATATATTAATAATTTAAGTAAATAACAATTAATGTGAATTTAATATAATCAATTTTGGTTTCTATTATAATTAATAATAATGCACAAATTATTGTAAAAATAAAATAAAATAATTTTTATCACTTTTTAATATTTATTTAAATTTTTAATCATGTTTGTAGTTCTTAAAATTTAAATTTAAATAATATTCTATTATTTTGTGGAACTTTTGTAATTACAGGTATTACTCAATTTTTATAATAGAATTTTGTGTTATTGTTATTAATTTTTGTGTTATTGTTATTTATTTTTGTGTATATTTACATTTATACAGAGTGCTTCACGGTGAACTGACAATTGCAATAACTTTTGTTCTATTGAGCATATTCAACTTTTTTTTTTTTAATTGTTAATTGTTGTCTGCTCTATGATTAAAATATTTTTATTTGATATTTAAAAAAATTAAGATAACCATTTTATAAATCTGATTTTAAGAAAAATGTTGATGTCAAAAACTTTTACTAAGGTTGAGTTAATAATTTTAGTAAACAATTTTTAAAGTTTGCCTAAATTCAAATTTATTTCTTTTTATCGGTATTACAGCAATTATTGATTATCCAGAAAATCTATTTGAAATAATATAAAATTGTAAAAAATTCAAAAAATTGTAGAAGATAAATACCCAAACATTTTTCAATTTTTTTTTATGTGAACATGTTTTAAAAATTATATGAAAAAAATGACTATTTTGATTTTTTTAAATAGAAAATAGAAAAGCTTTTAATTTCTTAATTTTCATACAAAATTAAAAAAAAAAAAGCTGATAATGTTTAATAGAATAAAAGTTATTGTAATTGTCAATTAACCATAAAACACTCTGTATTAATAGTATAATATTGTAGTTAACAGTTTTGCATGAACTTCAATGGTCATTAAATTTATTTCTTTATTTAGTAATGTAAAACTATATCATTTATCTAAATTTTTTAGTAAGAATTTTCAATATATTGAAATTAAACCACAATTATTTAAATTTACTAATAATTTTTAATTAGGTATAAATGGCATTAATTATTATAAAATGTATGATATAAAATGCTCATAAAATAGTTTTTAATAATCAATGAAAAATATACCTACATTTTTTTCATTTATGATTTGGTAAATTTTTACAAAAATGAATTATTACTTATTTAATTTAGAAAATATCAATATTTTAACAATGATACTTAATAAACTTATTATTTTCTACTGTTTAAATTTAAAAATCCATCCATGTTAATTATATAAAAATTAAATTGATATAAGTAGTAGGTTTTAAATTATGTGAATCTATTAGATAGAAATTAATTAGTTTTTATTTCTTTAGAAAAGATTTACTTTCCAGAAAATGTCATATCAAAAATCTAAAGTAAAAATATAAACATTTAGTTTCTAAACATGAATTCAGTTGATATGTAGTACAATGTTTGTTTTAAGATAGCCTAGCAATTTGCCTAAGAATGTAAACAAATAATATATTTATTTCTATAAATCTTTAAGGCCTTAGTTTTATGGCCCAGGGTAAGTGATATCATATTACTGAGGACCTTTAGAGCTCAAGTAATTATAGCTCTATATATTTATCTAATATTTATTAGAATATTATTGATAAATATTACTATTAAACAAATTAAAATATTTTTTTTAATATAATTACTTTATGATAATACTCAATGTAGATTGTAAATAACAGGTATAAATTATGAATAACTTTTAAATTAAATAATTTATGGTTTGCATTATCATTCATGCATGTACAATTTTCAAAATAAAAAAAAACTCATCTGCATCCATATTGTAATTAAATACCTATATTTTAAAAATAGAAACTAAAAATGTAATCAATTATCTTTTTTATCTATTTATTGTATAACTATTTTATTTAAAATTGTATTTCTTCAGGACATGCTGCATAACATCAAGTTTCTTTGCTATAATATTATTTCTCATATTCATAGTGATACCAATTGTTTTTCGATATTCTCCATCACTTCAAAGAGGAATGATATTCTTAAATTATGGTAATAACAAATTATTTTATTTTAAATATTTTAAATTTATGTTTAATTATCATACCTTAGTACTTATTGTATGTTACTGGTCATTATTAATAAATTATGATAGCCATTGATATTTATATTAACTAATCAATTTAAAATTTGCTGTAAAAACATATACTTTTGCAATTTATTTATTATTTACAAATTAAATAGTTTAAACAATAATTTTATCCATCATCCCAATACATCTCAACAAAAATTTGAAATATGCTCTTGATATCTATCTCATTTGACATCCTTTTTTATTTTTGCTTTCAAATTAATCTGTTTTCTTAATTTGTTTCAATGTCATAAAACAAACATATAAAAATATAAAATATAAAATGTTTTAATATTTTATTGGGATAAAATTAATGTTTTGTATAATACTTAAGTTTTATATGATTATTTATATTTTGTGGGTAGTATTACTTTAGCTGTTAGTCAAATAGTGGATTAATGTATACATAAGGAGTTAAAATTTTCAAGAATTGTCTAAAAAATACTATTTAAATTTTAAATTGATTTTATTTATTTATACCAGAGTACCTAAATTGTACAAATTTAAAATGTTACTTTTTTAATCCAAAATTATTTATTAAATTAAGTTTTGGCAAGTATAAAAATTATAATATTAATTTTAAAATATTTTAAGATCAATGATTATAACATGTTTTTAACAGTTAAGTTATCAACACTAAACTATTAATTATTATTTTTTAGTTCGTATGCCATCTACTGTTAATTATAGTCATCCTGAAAAGTATGGTATAAGAGGAACTAGAAATTTCTATATAAAAACAATTGACAATATGACATTAGGTGTATGGTATGTAACCTCTTATTTAATTTGTATTATTTAAATCATTAAAAATTATTCCATTTGTATTTTAAATTTAATAAACATATATAATAATTTATAAATATTAAACTTATTTTGATGATTACAATTTTAAGGTATATTTGAACAAATATATGGCAATTAAAATGTTTAGAGCTTGGACAATTTAAATTATCTATGTATATCTCAAAAATCAATAAAAATTAATTGGAATTTTCATTTATACTATTTTCAACAATCTTTTTTTGTTTTTGTATAACTTATGAATATCATACTAAAATATAATATGTAATATAATTTATAGGTGTATAAATTCTTTGTTGGTGATTGTATCTATTTAATTATTTTATCATATGACAGGCATGTTTTACCACGCAATTTATTGGATAAATACGAAAATGATAATTCAATTTATGAACAACTTTTAAGTCATGGTGAACCAATCATAATATATATGCATGGAAACTCAGGTACTCGGGCGAATGAACATCGAGTTCAATTATACCATGTGCTTCAAGATATCAACTGTCATGTAATAGCAGTAGATTATAGAAGTATGCCACTTGAGCAATTTTTTAATTTTCTTTTTCTTGTTATTTATAATTTTTAGTAATTTTTTTACTATAGGTTATGCCGATTCTACTGATGTCGAAGTCAGTGAGCTTGGTGTAGTTACAGATGCAATGGAAATGTTTAAATGGACACATCAACGTGCTAATGGCATCCCGATCTTTGGTTGGGGTCATTCTTTGGGAACTGGGTGAATTTATATTTAAACATAGTAATTTAATTGAATTAAATTAAACTTTTATCATTTAAAATCAAAAAAAAAATTATTATTCAGAATTGGAGCTCATGCATATTCACTGCTGGAAAAAGAAGGTTTTTATCCAAATGGCCTCATACTAGAAGCTCCATTTACCAAAATGAGTGATGAAATACGAGAATATCCACTTACCAAAGTAACATATTTTTACTATTATTAAATTATTTATAATTCTTTTAAGTCAACATTAGTATAAAATATCATCTAACCCATTACCATAGTTAAATTAAATTTATTGATTATAATATTAAAAATTTTTAATAACTATAATGTAGATGTAGGTAATAATATCATATTTTATATTATAGTTAAAAATTAAACTTTATTATAGATAATTATTATTAAAGAAATACAGTCTAAATGGTTTCATAATAAAAAATATTACCTGAAAGAAATTCTGGTTTAGTAATTCAAAGATAAGAAAATATTTTGATAAACTAATAGCTCTTAATTTATTTTGATGAATAATTTAAAAAAATTATTTTATGATAATACAGGGTTTATTAATGATTTATGATATGGTTAAACTATTCATATCTTACTTAGGATAAGCTTTTTTGTAGACACAGATAGCTTCATTGACTACAACTTTTAATTACTCCCTAAAAGAAAGATAATAATTTTATTGTCAAAACAAATATAAACTAGTAAGATACCTTAGTAAATTTTAATAATTTTTAGTTGTCAATCATACTAACATAAATAGGAATTTTTAGATCAGCTAAAAAAATAACATGACAAATATCTATCAAATTATAATCAAGTATCTTTGGTTATAAAATAATTAAACTGCTAATTAGAAATATAATATGCTAAAGATGAATACAAGCATTAATTAATTTGTAGCTAGAATATTAACAGTACAACAGCATTTCAACATATCTTCAAGCAATATCTTTTAACGTTATAATATAAGCTTATAATCCAAAAACTATTCCTGAACGTGACAAATTATCTATGTATCTTATAACTTGTATTGTCTTAATATTTAGTAATGTATTTCTACTAGTTTTACTTTATGTATTAATATATTTCACAATTGATGTGAGCAGTTAAACAACTGAACATTTAAGTTATAGGTAGTTTTTTTTATGAAAATATAATCTAAGATATTTTTTTGTCAATATTTCTTTAATGAACATTTTGTTGTAAAATAGTCTCAAAAGTTAGCATTTTTAAAAAGTTAAATAGTTTTTACAATTGTAGTTATACAATGTTTAACTATAGTGTTATATATCATAAAATATTATTAATATTTTGACTTAATTCATCATTATTTAATGAAATATCATATTTTTATATGTATGTATAATATAGATTCATCGACTTTTGCCTTGGTTTGAGTTTTTCATCATTGAACCAGTTGAGAAAAATAACATCATTTTTGATACAGAAACAAATTTGATGAATACTAAAATGCCAATATTGATTTTACATGCACGTGATGATATTGTAATACCTTACGAGCTAGGTGAAAAGGTAATTTTATAATTTTCATTGTTTTAAATATTATTTATTTGGTTTTCATGAAAATTTTGCTCGTAATTTTTATATTATTATCCTTAAAATATCAGCAATTAATTATTAATTTTTATAAACTTTAATTTCATAGTTGTCCTAAATCATTTTTAATATACCTATATTTAAACTTAGTAGTGAAATTTTACCTTCAAATTCAATACTACTAAATAATGAGCTATACATTTTTTATTTATAGTTATACAAACATCTATTGGAAACTAGAAAAAATACAACTACTGAAATTGTGTTGTACGATAGACATTTCAAGTTTGGACATAAGCATATATGTAAAGATAAAGAATTAGGAAATCGGACCAGGTGAGTGTTATAAATTATTCTACGAGTACTTCTTATTTAAAGAATTTTTATGTTCTATATTTATGAAATGAAATAGTATTGCCTGTTGAAATAATATTTTTAGATTACCATTGATATTTATTAATAAAAAATGTGTATGTATTTTTATTTTTTTCAGGAAATTTATCAATGAGTCTATAAAAAATTTATCTCAGTAAATGTTTATACTTTTTTATCCGCCGTTAATTTACGCATATGTAGTGCATGCAGATATGATGGATTGATTAATATTTATGTTTAGCTCAATTTTTATTGTTTTATGTTTGTTTTTAAATTGTACGATTAAATTTAAATCCTACTTGATATGTTCATTATAAAAGTGATACTACTTTTTAGCTTGGTAATAATTTTTAAAATATTTAATGATTTTGTAATTGTGACAAATATTCTATTGGTCTATTATTGTAAACTTATTACAATTATAATTTTATTTAATTACTTTTTACGCTGTTAATTTTTTTCATTTTTTACAAATTCTTTCTTTGTAATTATTTCTGTCTTCATTAAGTATATTCGAAAATTCTTAGCAAATATGTCAAAATATCAAAGCTTGCTTCAATTCTTTTGTTATAAACGTATAATTTATAACAATCAATTCATAGAAAAATGTAATATTCAATTTTTGAATTATTCATAGCTTTTTGTATTTGTGAAAATACATAAATAATTGTATTTCTTATTTTAATTTTAATTTGAAATTTTTCAATTAACTATCTAGTGTTAAATTATAGTACACTTAAATGTTTATATTTTAAAAAAATCATGAAAGTTTACTTTTTTTTGAATTATTATTGTTTTGTTTTAAGTACATAGTTTTATAACAATTAATGTTTAAAGTATAATAAAAAAATAATAATAAAAAAATAACCATCCTATATTTTTAGTGAAATGTTAATGCTACTCATTCTTAAAAAAATTCTTGTCGGACATCATTTTTTTTTATCTTTCTTAATGTAAAAGCATCTGTTAAAATGTTTTATAATAAACTGATTTTATTTGTTTTTACCGCGATTTTATGATAGTATAATTTAATATGTCAAAAATTAATGTATTATGTGGTACTTTATTTACAAGAATTTTGGATTTTGAATAAAGAAAAAAATATATTTGTTTTCAGATAATGTTTTAAATATAAACGTTTTTATTGACTGCCTTTTTATGCAGAAAAACTCACCTGAATAGATAAGATTTGATTAAAAAATGTTTACCAAACAATTTTGACGATTAGAAACAAGACGTTGAAGGCACTTAATTGTATGTTATTCAAGGATTTTTTTTTTTTAAATGTAAAAACTAGTTTCATTCAAAAATACATTTTTACTATTTATCTATTTCCAACTCATTTGCAACCATGTACAAATCTAACCTAAGTTCTTACTTGTAGTGACCGTAAACAGAAAACAGACTTTTTAGGACATAAAAACATTGTATTATTTGTTTATTACCTAATTAATTTTATTGGGAAATATTAACAGTAATAGATAATTTAAAATGTTTAATAAAGAAAAATAGTTTTATATAATGATTAATACTACAGATTACTGACTAAATAATAACAGAAACTAGCAGTGAATAATAGTCATTACAATAATTATGGCTATAAACTAACTTAAGAATAGGTGACTAACTTGTTTGCCAGTTACATTAACCAGTTGATGAAATGTTTGTGAACATAGTCTTAACACTTAAGGGGACAATAAACAAAGTAGGCAAATTGTTGAGGAACTCTGAAACAAATACAGGGTACTCATGGAGGTGTACATTAAATGTAGTATGTTTCATCATTAATTTTTTGGGGAAAATTTTAGATTGGTACCAACTATTCTGTTTTCTAATGTTTCTTTTTAATCGTAATGCCTGAAAGATAAGGGTGCAATAATGTAATACATTAAGTTTAGAAGTGTTTTAGTATTCACTTACAATTTCAGAAGTTGCATGCAGTATAAGGCTTAAAGGACAAATAAAGAATATTAATGAGCTTTGAATAAAGATAGAAGGTTGAATTTAGATGAAACGGAATTAAGAATTCTAACGTTTTCTATGCTTAGCAATACTGGATTGAATATGAGCATGGTAATTTAAATTACTGGTTGGGGAAGACAAAGTCACTTTTATTTGAGTTCTTTTCCGAATTAAGGATATTGACTGACATACATTAAGGTGTTGTCAAATCGAGTTTAACTGTAAGATAAAATTATCATTTTTATTTTGAAGCATAAAACAGTTGTTTATAATGTTAATTTGGGAGAATATTTTTAAATCAGCCAAGTAGTGGAGATTACAATTCAGGAAAATTTTTTAATTCTGTTGATAAATAGTGTGAAAAGAAGTAAGGAAAGATGGCTACCTTGTGCAATCATAGAAGTTATAGGTACTATTTCAGACTTCAATTCATAGATTTTAACACGTTGAAACACTGTGGTTAAGTATGATTCTAACCAGCATAGGAAAATATCACCAAAGTCATATTAAAAATATTATAAATTCTTGATAATATTAAATTTATTTATTAATGAAAAATCAGTAAACTTTAATAATAAGTTAAATGAGAATTGAAATTAAAATAACTTAAAACTGGGTTGATAACAAAATGAAAACAAAATATAATGTTAAAACTTAAATTAAAATAAATCATAAGAATCGTCAAAGACATAACCTTCTTCATTGTCACTACAGCTATCACTATTAAAACTTTCATTATCCAATGAGTTCAGAGGAGTACCTTTTGCTTTTAATTTTAAATCGTTCATAGCTGTAAGAACAAAAATGATAAACTTCATTTTATTACTGTGTATTATCACTTACATTTTTCCTTTAATAACACATTTATTTAAAATCCAATTTTTGGAATTTTTAAGTATATTTAAAGACCATATTTTCAAATGAAAACACAACTTTTATAATACATTATGAATCAGATTTTTTATTTTTGAAATTGTTGATTATCTTCACTAAAATTAAAATTTGAATGAGTAATATCAGTTATTAAAATATAGAATTTACTAAAAACAATAACTATAATTTTCAAAACCATGAATCCATAATATCCAAACCTATTATCATTATTTCTTAATATGTGAAGCTAAAAAAAAATGTATCCCTTACAATTTACAAGACAAAATATGATTCCCAACTAAAAAGTGAATGTATACACATATAGAATGCTACATGATATATTCTTCACTATTTGAAAAATATTGAATCATATTAGACATTTGTAATATGACAATAAAAAAAAAAATCAAGAAAGCTACTATGGTGACATAGCAACAACTTTGTTATGGCAACCTTACAAAAATCAAAAAATCAAATAATGTAAAAAAAAGTTGTATCCATGTTAAAAAATAAAAATAAAAAAAAATAAAAAAAAAATGTTATTATTAAAGAAAAGTAAGTGTGAGCACATCAGGTGAATCACTCTGAATAATAATTCTCATAACACAATTAACAAAATTATATCCATACAAATTATTATTAAATATAATACTTTTTATCCAGATGTATCCTAGGTCTTTGATTTCAACGTGTTCTGTATCATATTTCACATATGTATGATGTTTACTACATAAAAACAACTGTGGCCATTTGTAATCTGTAAAAATATCTATACTGTAGATTTAGACTTCAAGTAGTTATGAATTAAAACATAATCAATTATTTTGTTAAACCTTGAGTAGTCTACAACCAAGTTAAATAAATTACTAACAGAATTACTCAAAGCATCAAAATTGTTATTTATGTAAAAAATTCTAAAAAAATTCTACAAAATAATAACCTACTACTATTTATATAAAAAATTAATTTTAAGTTTATAAGCTTGGAAATTTAGGTAGATGTGTTAGACTAAGTTAAATACAATGTTCAATATTTTTATTCAGCTCTATATAAAGAGAAATTTAGTTAAAATTTGAATTTCACAATATTAATTTAATAGCAGTTTTATACTTATTCATAGTTTAACTCTCTACTAATATACTGATAATAGAAAACATACCTGTTTTGAACAACTTTTCAGCTTTAATATAGAAACCTTCATAATTATGTCTATATATTATACTTTTATCTATGATAAAACCATAAAGCTTAACATAAAACTCATATGAAAACTCTTTGAATTTAGATCTGAAAATATAATATTTAGATAAGTACATTTTTTATTTTTTTTTGTATAAAATATCTAATATAATCTTACTTAAACTTTATACTTTCCATTGTACTGTCCACATTAAAATCATCTATTTCAAGAATATTGAGTTTTAAGTAAATATTATTTCTATCTTGATGCCAAGTGCATATAGGAATGATTGACTGTAAATTAGTATTGCATGTCAAACAAATTTTTCGTCGTTTTTCTCCATTTTTCTGTTTGCAATTATTAAGCAAACATATATCTTTAATCGGTATTATATTATCAATTGATTTAATTTCATTAGTTTCAACTGATTCAATATTAATGTTTTCTTTAAGAGTTTCATTTTCAATTGACGATGTTATGTCCGTGATTGTTAAAGAGTCTTCTTTTTTAATATCCTGAATATCTTGATCTGCATGTTTCAAAATATTTGCATAATCCTAAAAACAAATACTTTTTAGTTTTAAATATTGACAATAAAATAATTTACTATACATAAAGTTTTAATTATTATATTATTTATTTTTTTTTTTTTTTTAATGACTATACTAATATTAAAATAAAAAACTTTCAAATTTGATAATTTTACCAATAAAAATATGTATAAACATATTATATAATAAACACAATATTTTTGCAATATTGGATAATCCAATCCACAAAAGTAATCTTATTTTGAGGATGTTACTCCACATCGGTTATCTCTAACTTACGAGTGAATCTACACTCAACAATATATGTTTAGCTTTGGTACTTTTAATATTGGAATTTTTTTTTTTTTTATTTATCTAACATCAAATGTACAGGTTATAATATTGTCTGTAGTTTGTAAAAGATTTTTTAGATATTTTTGATTTAAAGTAAGTTATGTATTGTATGAAATTAAAATTTTTTAAAAAAAAACAACTTTACCTACAATATTTTTCATATTAAGGGTTGATAAGTCAATTAATTTTAACATTAAAACTAACAAAGTCAAAAATGAACTGCTGAATATAAATTTGCCATGTTACACACTTTTGAGATTATTAAGCGTCTCTTCAAGAATTGACAATAATTAATTCTATAAATTATTGATTACTTTTCCAAAAATCGCAGTTCCAAAATCATTAAAAAATTCTCGTACAATTTCAGGATGCATACTATCTTCAAAATCAAATTTAGTTTCATCAATAATATATGGAACATCTTTATCATTTTCTTCAATAATATCATTGTATTCCTCGTTAATTAAAGTTGAAATTGTAGACATTTGGATATGGTCACAGTACTGACTGAATTTTGTTTGAAACTCTAAATTAACAATGATACTCTTGTCATATAAAATCACTTCATAGAGACTTCCACCAGTAAATGTTGTTGATGAAATTATGTCAGTAACCTAAAATTAAAAGTAAATTAAAAATACATTTTTAAAAATAATGTTTATTTACTTTTAAATATAATGGATTTGCAGTAATATCAAATAAATAGTCAACTAGTTCATTTAGCTCATTGTCTGTTGGTAATATATCTTTAACACCACTTAAACTACATTCAATCGCCTAATAATAAAATAAAATAAAAATTAATAAAGGAATGTATAATAATTTAAACTTAACTAAAATATTGATATTTACTTGAAATGGTAGGTAAGTAATTAAATCTGGGTGTATTGTAAACAATAAGTGTAATTTAATATTAAAAAATTCAGCTTTGTCTACAAAAAAAACTTCAACAATACCATTAACATGTTTTTCAATAATTTTAACGCGGTTGTACCTATGTAACAAAATTATTTAAATAGTTGTTGAATATGTATAATATCATGATAAAATTCTTACAAATTAGTTTGAGGATATTTAGCTAAACAAATTGCTCCATTAATAACATATTTCAACTTTGTTGGTTGGTTTTCTTCTACATATTTATCAATCATTAATTGAAGATCGTTGAGTCTAAAACATCATATTTTAATATTGTAGATTAACTTAATGATTGGTATTTTAAAAAAAACCTAAGAGAATAATCTAAGATCACAATATTATCTTAATTTTACTTGCTACAAAAAGTTTATCAAAGTAATGTTTCAAATGATACTATTTAAGAGTATATTTTTTAAACCCTTCTCATTCCACATTTCAAAGAATATATTATATATTTTATATTGTAATTAGTAGTACAGTAGGTTGAACCTGTTTTTTAAAATTAATTTTGCATAATTTAATACTAGTTCAAATAATATTACTAGCTGTTAATAACTTGATATATATTAGAATCTATCAAAAATTGTTTTTGACTATAATTTGTTGTTATCTATATTTTCCATCCCCCAAATATTTAAAAAAAAAAAATATTTGAAATTAATTTTAATACCTCATAGAACGCTATCTGAATTTAATCTGTAACTAGAAATTACACTTAAAAAAAAGGCAATAATGAAACACAACAAAAATCATCACAGTAACACCAATACATTCATCATTCAAAATTTAAAATTGAATAATTGAGGATTAACACCTTAAAAATGCTGAGAATCAATGTTCAAGAAAACATTTAGTCTAATTATTTTATTCTAAAATCAAATAGTTTTGAAGAAAAATCAAAATCAAATGTTTCTATAACAATTAAGTTTTTATCAAACACCTCAAATGTAATCTTTCATATACACAAACAGAGTATCTTACCTATCATAATACTTGACATTTTTAACAAAAAATAACTTAGGACTAATCAAACTCTCTACAGAAACCAAAATGATACTTTGGTCTAGATGTGCCCACTGGGGATGAGGCAATTTATAAATTGACATATATTCTTCTACACTGAGTTCTTCTAAAATAACACAAGAATTGGATAAAAAAAGTTGTAAACAATAAAATCATTCATTTAACTTACTATTTTCCCCGACATTCATTTTTAATTGTAATGGCTTGGTAATACCAGCTGCAATACTGAGTTCTCTTAAATTGTCAATATGTTCAAAATTCATATCTGCGTAGCCAATATTAAATAAAACTTCGGGTAAAATTTCTCCAAAACCATATTTCTGTGAATCTGTATCCCAATATTTTTCATACAATTTTTTTATCCATATAGTAGTACCTAATGCCATTTTAACCTGGAAAAAATATGATTTAAACACATAAAAACTACACGAAACATAAACACTAAATATCATACCTTTACAATAATTGTATTATTGCAAGTATCAGCATCTTTCAAATGTTTTAGAACACAATTGTTAGCATGGCTGTACCATGTTTTATCAAAGCCAATTGGTTTAACGGATGCCAAAAACATATCGACAGTAGTTGTAGGTATACTTTTTAACTGATCAGGTAACACAAATACCTTCCATTTCTAAGAGCATATCCATAATTTTAACATCAAAAATGATTTTAAATTAATAAATGCTATTTACCAATATAGTTTCAACACATCCTTCATCAATAAGCTTAACCCTCACTTTAGAGTTTGTTGTATTTTTATCAACTATATTAATAACAAGAGCCCTAAAATATTTAATGTCAATTATTTTCCTAGTACTATTAGATTCAATCTGTACAGCAACTATATCTCCAGGTTTAGGGTTTTCATGAAGAACTCTAAAATATTTAATAATATATTAAAATTTTATTTTACTTAAGTAAAAGCTTATTTAGAACTCACTCAGAATTTCTTTTTGAAAAGTATGAACTGAGCTTAGAATTAATGGTGTCAGAATGGTCCATTACACCTGACCAATGTTTTTCATCATTAAGATTATTTGTATTATTCACTTTTAAAAGTTTAGCGGAAATGTGAGATGCATCATAAACTTTTAAAATTTTTACAATAGCTAATCCAGATCTAAAAAAAATAATTGTTATCATTAATATGTAGCTTTTAAATGCTATAGTTATAATACATTATTTAATTTAATTATAATTATAACTTTTGAAATAAATATCTCAATGTTTAATTATAGTACATAAACTAATTATATAGAGTAATACAAAATAACCTAGGAATGTTAACACCAGGCTCATCATGTTGCTTGAATAAAATATGACGACTCTGGCATGTCATAGGTTTAGAACAATGACCGAATTGTTGTAGTTCACTGCAGAAAAGACTATTTGTCTTTTCTTTTTCTAGAGAGTCATTTATATTCTAAAAAATATTTGAAACTTAATTTTATTTGATTATTCATATCAAAAGCACACCAAATCAAGATTTGTTCATCTCTAACGCTTGAAACATAACAAAAATAAATTAACAAATACCTGCCACAAATTAATTTTATTAATTTTTATTATTAATAATACATGACAAATATTTGTAAACTTATTGTTTACTAATTGTAAATATTAATATGATGTATAATTTGTTAGGTGCATTATAAGTTTTTAAAACCTTGGCATGTTTCAGCAAAATAGGATCCACTTCACCATTACCAAAATCTTTCATGATTTGTACTACTTTTGGCAACTGCAACATGTCTTTAATATTGTTACTTAAAAATATATAAGTACTTCGGTTTTTATTCTATAAAAAAAAAACAAAACATAAAATACATAGTTATGATAAGACAATTCAAGTGTGATTGGTCTATTAGGAATGGATGGAGTGATGTCTATGCATTTAAATTTTTGAGAATTTATAAATTATTAAGATTACCAACATAGGTAAATAATATTTAATCTAAGCTAAACAAAAATTGTTTTTTTTTTTTAAATTAAATTTAAAAAACTCACTTCAGGAACATTGCTAGAATATTGTAAAACACTAAATCTCATGGAAAATTTGTGTTTATCAGGAGGAATATCATAGTGTATTAAACAATCAGTGTCAATAACATAAAAATCAATCAACATATCATCACTACAAATTAATAAACGTTGTTTATTTGTTAATGGTTCATTCCATTGTTGCATCGTATGAACTAAAAAAAAAATAAAAATAAAACCCACATGTAAAAATAAGTCATTTGGAATAACCTATAACAATTTAATTAAAATTACTAATAATTAATCTACCATTAGAAATTCTCATTTTACATGGCACAAATACTTCTATATTAGAACTATGTTGTTGAATATAATTTGAAATTATGCCAAGTTCATCAGCATTAGATGTAACCAAAACATTCTGACAGCACTTCTCATTACTTTCTAATAGCTCTAGAATTTAAAAATGAAATAATAATCATCACATTTGTGAAATAAATCTTGAAAAATATTGTTTACGTAATATTTTCTCTAGTTTATCATCCTTGACTTGTACAACATTAAATCCTATTTTTGTATAACGAGCAGCTTCTAAGGGAGATCCAAAAATATATTGCCATTTTAAGAACAATTGTTTTAAAAATGTATCTACTTCTTTATTCCATTTGACTGATGCAGATATTAATTGTATACTACATCCTTCTCTTGCTTTAAGTTTCATTAAAATTTGATAAAAATAAGTCATCTAAAATTGTTTTTTAATTAAATATTTTCTTATTTAAAATGCAATATAACAATGAAGTTACTTGAGTTTCATAATTATCCAACAGTAGATCTATATTATCAAAGACAAAATGTCTTAAATTTGAATAACTAAATATTTTTGCTTGAGTGAGTAAATTATGGAGGCCAATTGGAGTACCAATTAAAATATCACATCCATTACATAAAGCTGCCTACACAAATAATAAATACAAATAAAATTAATAACTTTAACATTTGGTATGCAATACTTTTTTTTTATAATTTCAAAAATTTTAAAAGAACACCACTTGATCATACATTGTTAATGAAAACTAGTTGAAAAATAGTTATACACGAAAAAGAATCACTAGCTAGAATTATAATTTAAAAACTAAATTTATATTTAATATAAAAGGAAATATTTGTTGTTAAGATAAATTATCTATAAGGTGTAATCTTTTTAATTTTGTAAACTTAATAATATTTTAAATAAGTGATATCAAAAAAAGTAAAACACTATATTACAAAATATATCAAAATCTATAATTTGATTTCTAACTATGAAAGTAATATTGTAGCATGAGTGGTTATTTTTGTTAGATAGCTATTTTTGCACATTACTATATCTCTATATAATCTTGTAATCATGTAACAACTAATAATGTTTACTTATATATCTTTAAAGTAGACTGTACTAACCATCTTTGCTTTTACGCTCAAGTGTAATATTCTCTTAAGTGTTTAACTTACTATTGTATGTTGTACTGAAATAGATTCATAAGCTACGACAATATTAACTTTTTTATTAGTTGAAGAGCAAAGTTTTTTTGATAAATCTTCTAATACAGAGCATGATCCTAAAGAACTACTCAGTACAATAGCTTTGGGCCCAATGACAACACTATCCTGTAAATAGGATTATTTATATTTATTTTGTTTTAGATAAGTTAAAGAAAAAAAAAACAATTAAATAATAACACAAAAGTTCAAGCAGTTAAACATTATGTTATGTTCACTTTACTTAAATTAAGTTATAATGTTGTAACATACCACTTTATCGTTACTGTTGCTCAAAATTGAAGAATAAATACTTGCTAAATAAGAAACTGATTTTCCTTTTGAAAAACCGATCATTGCTGTATTATAATGTTTCATTAAATATAAAAATGAACTCTGTTGTATTGGTTTAATTTGTTTAATATTCATATGATTAAAAGCCTATAAATAAATAAAATATTATATACATCCTTACCAATTAATATACAAAATATTTGATAAAATAGATGTAGTGATATATATATGTGTGTGTATATATATATAAGAAATTAATCAAGTATCAGATGACTATTAAAGTTAAATTTTTAACTAATATAAAAATGAATGAACTACAGAAAAAATAAACCATGTACCTAATAAAAACAAACTTTAAATTGATTTAAAACATAAAAAAATACAAATTGATTACATTAAACATACCTAACTAAGAAATAAAACAATAATAATAATGTGTATAACAAAAAATATGAATTTAATAACCTGCACAATTTCATGATGTATATCAGATTGACCCCAATCACTGAGGTGTAGTTTTTCAAAAGGTCCATAAACTGGTGTTGAATTACCATTATTTTTTTTTCCATTGTTATCATATTGCAGACTAAAATAATTAAACAAGTATTAGAATATAAGTAGATTAAATCAATTTCATTAAAGCAGGAAGAGCATAATTTAATTTATTTAAGATTTAATGATATTATAAATAACAGACAGATAAGAGTTAAATATCTCATTTGATAGACAAGTCTTTTGATGTATTTGATGTAGGTTGTATTTTTTCATTTTGGATATCTAATAAAGGTTACCCAGATCTGCGACCAGTATTTTTGTGATTAATTACATCGAAAAAAGCATGGTTAGGTACACAGGAAATGGAAATATTTTCATCCACCACAACGTAAACAATATAAAATTATTAAACGTTAAAACCATATAATCTTTTGGAATTGCACTTACTCAGCATATTTTCTTAAGTTAATCTGATTCGCCATGTTTGATTCGATATTGAGAAAAGAACACCGAATAAGCAATGAAAAGAAATTAAAAATAATTATATCATCTAAACAGTAATAAGTATCTATTAGAAACAAACTAATTAGACTACGAACAATCAAAATAACTATTACGGGTAGTCCAATAAATTTGTCATCTGACTAATGATCATCATAATATCACTGAGAAAGGTGGTAAATATAGTAAACGTTCATAAACTAATTAAATTATAGATATAAAATAAATTGTTGTCATGTTATCTACAAGCTAGGGAAATCCGGAAATGTTTGGGCCGTGAGCCCGCGCGAATTCGATGAAACGATCGTCGTTATCATTTTGTTAATGTTATCAACTATGCAGAGTACAGACCTATCATTCATTGTGTATCTCCAGTGCCGGTTTTTTTTGTAGTGCCACAGGCTCATCGAGTCGTAAATCGTGATAACCTTCTGTGGTTTCGCCAATATCTTCGTTTTGTTCAGTTTTCGAAATCTTTTTTTATTGTATATCAGCCATGTTAGTTTTGCTCAACGTTTAAGTTATTCTCACTGGTTTGCCCAACATTTTAGTTACTTTGACTGGTTTGCCTAACGTTTTACCATTACTTTAAACTAACCTAACCTCGTTAAACATTTAAAAAAGAAAAATATAATACATTTTTCTACTGTTAATTAGTAACGAAGATTATATTTAAAATCAAGTATCCAATGTAAGTATACACGTCATTTTTTATTATTTTAATAATTAGTTTAAAACTTTTAAAATTGCTTACTAATACCTACTACTTGCTAATGAATTTCATACTTCAGTGTTTAAGTACATAAGTCTAGTCATCTGAGCAGTACTATAACACATGTTTCTTATTATTAAACAGTTTTTTCTATTATATAGGTATATTTTTTCTCCAATTAGTTTTTTTTTACATATTTTGACAAACTTTGTTGTACATGTGTATAGTTTTTGTATGTTTGTGAGCTATGAGAGCTATTTTTATTGTTAAGTAGATATTTAAGTGGGTACATATTTATGTACATATTCATTTATTAACAATCTAATTCAATGTACCTACTACTTCATTTACTTTTTTTTTTTTATTATTACATAATCCCAACAACCCTAGATTTCCAAATATTTATAAATTATTATAAAGAATCATTTGCTTCATATCACTGTTTGCTCTAATTATTGTATTTAAAGTCTTTCTAGATCTCAAAACAGAACATAAAATATGTTTGAATTGTACATAAAAATAAATAATATAATTATGGATTTATTATCTTTTTCTAGAAAATCATATGAAATATTTTAACAACTTATTCAAGCTTGTCTATTGCACTAAAAGACATATGTCTTCTTCTAAATTATTGTTATGGGAAAATTCTATGTTTGTTAACTTTTTGACTCCAACGAGTGAGACGAAACAAAAAATCATGGTAACACTATTATCTCCATATAACAAATTAAAAAGAATAAACTTGTGTCGAAATTCAGAAGATACAATACAAGTATTTATTGACAGACTTTTTTTAAAACTATCAAAAACTCAACGTAATGTTAGCGATGATAAAATGCTTAAGAGACATTTTATAGAAATAAAAATTAAAGGAATCAAAGTACCATGTACTTCTAAATGTTATCAAATATTTAAGGATGATTATATTACCCTTCACATTAAAGATCATACGTATGAAGTAATAGTTGATGCACCAATAATCAATGATCTTAAATTGAGAACTTCTCTATATCAAGGACTAATGATATATCCTTATACATTTGATCAAAAACGTGATTGCATTGTTTTTCACTATTCGTGGTATAGAATTGATTCAAAAAAAGAAATTGAAGTAAGCAATGAAATGGCGTATATACCTACTGCCGAGGATGTTAATTGTCGTCTAAAATTGATTGTTAAACCTTTCAATGAGGACAATTTGTTATTTGGACCTACAACAGAAGTAATATCTTCAACAGTCTTAGAAAATACCATTAAAATCTATCCATTTGAAAAAAGAATAAAAACTAAGCCGTATAATAGGTGAGATGAATTAACTATGTATATTTATACATATTTTATCTAAAACCAGATCAATATGTTATTAAGTATTAATTCTTTTAAAATAACTAACTTTGTTTATTTGCAATTTATATATTGTAGTATTAGAGTTGTATCATACAATATACTAGCTGGAGAATATACAAAAACTAAAGAAGCAAAAAATACAATGTATCCATATTGTCCAGAAGAAATTTTGGCATCCAGTTATCGGAACCCTCTTGTAATGAAAGAACTTCAAGGTACTTAAGTAATATGATGTAAATAATTTATTTTATGTGTAATTAATTAATTATTTTAAGCATACAATGGAGATATTATTTGTCTGCAAGAAGTGGATAAAGTTTTTTTTGATAGAGAATTATATCCTATATTAAATTCATACAATAAAATGACTGGATTATTTTTGAAGAAGAATGGCCATAGGAATGAAGGATTGTGTTGTTTTTATTCCAATAAATTTAGGTATGTTGTACAGTATTCTAGTATTATAAAAACTAGTATTTCTATTATTCATTTGTTTGTTTTATAATATTTCAATATTTTTAAATTAATCTAAATATATTTTAGATTATTAGAACAATTTAATATTTGTTTGAACGATCTGACTACTATAGAAATATATTGTGGGCCTATTATAAAAGAAATTATGGATGATATAACATGGAAACAAGGATTAGAAAAAAAAACTGTTTTTCAAGTTAGTGATCATTGATATAAATATTATTATTAAATGTAAGACTGCAAAATAAATGTTTTATTTAATTTTTAAAAAGATAAAGCTATGCTTATTATAGTTATTTTATATTGTAAAATTATTGCTAATAATTTATTTGGAAAAAATAAATTAACATTTTTTTAAAAATATTTTATAGGTCGTAGCTTTAAATTTGACAAATGACAGTAGACAGATAGTGTTGGTATGCAATACTCATTTAATATCTGACCCAGATGGTGATTTTATAAGATTATTTCAAGCTTTAATTGAACTAAGTATTATTAATAAAATAAAACAAAATCTAATGAAAGATGTAAGTATATAAGTTGAAAAATTATTAAGCTGTATATTAAATAAAATAAGTTTTGCTATAATATTTTAATTTTAAAATGATAAGGTTAATAATCACAATAATAATTTGTTATATTTAACAAGTATAAAATGGTTTCTTGATTTTAACTTTATTATTGTATATGTGTTTATAAAAATACTGAGAGTGGTTTACTCTATCAAAACTATAATATAAATGAGAACAAATTATTTTTACTATAAAAGTGTTATAAAATAACATATTACCTTCATGAAAACAAGAGAAAAATGTATATAATATTATTATCAAAGGTATTATTTCAAAGAAATTGCTTAACAGTAACATTAAATAATTTTAACTAAAAAAAATCATTGTGTAGATACCAACATCTAATTTATTTGAAAATATGATACTTTATTTTTATACAATTAAAAATTAGTAAAATAAGGTGATAAATAATCTATTAATTATGTATTTAATTTCAGGATCCTAAAAGAAATGTATCGGTTATATTCTGTGGAGATTTTAATAGTACACCTGAAAGTGGCATTTATGATTTAGCCACCGATTTATTATTACCAGAGGAGCATAGTAAATTAATTTTTGATTATTATTGTATACTTGAATATTTTTCTGGTCTAAAGTTTATTTTAAGAAAAATGTTAAAACATATACGCTATTTTTTTTTATTGAAAATCAAAATAGTTTACTTAAAAAGAAATATAATCAATTCAAACTCCCAAATATTTATTAAGGACTATCAATTAAAGTAGTGATTAATTATTAAAATACTTAATTCAGCATTTAGGATTTATATATGTAGGTATTTTTATAAGTGTAGTATCTATGTATAGACATAATTAAAAATTATTGATAAAATATTTTTAACTGGCACTGACCATTTAGAAGTTTTGATTAATTTTGGTAGTC